AATGTTTACAATTTTCTATAGGTTAAATATCTGTAAAGATTATTACTTACTGTTTGACCTGATACGCTTCTACCCTCTCAAACCACGGCCACATCATGTAGTCGATCATTGTTATAGAATCGCCACCAAAGAACTTGGTCTTCTTGTTAACGAGGTCCTAGAAATTGAATGTTACATTTATTAGAGTTGTAATTAACTGGAATAACCAGGCACTGACAGGAAAGATAAACTTATTTGTTTTAATAAAAACAACCTTTGATCAATGACTGTGATTCACAGGCACACACTCATTCACACACAGTGTATCACCTCATATGTTGGGTTAATGGATAAAGGAACCAGAGGCCTCAAAGGTGTGGCCTACCTCGTTTAACTTGGCAAACTTTTCTTTCAGTTCAGCTTCCAGTCCGGAGACATCCTCTCCCTTCTTTTTATCCATTGGGATCTTGTAGAAGTACGGTATCACCTGTAGGAAACAGTGACATTAATATTATTATTTGGTGGTGGTTAACAAAAAACAAAACGTTAAGGTTTATATGCAAGTCTTTGTGTGACCTACTTTGGAAAAGTGCTCCAGCATCATCTTTTGTTGAGCCTTAGCAAAGGGAGAGGAGGGAAGCAGCTTCTTTTCAGGGTAAACTTCATCCAGGTATTCACAGGTGATGGGTGACTCGTATATCACCTTACCAGCAGGTGTCTCAAGCGTTGGGACAAGACCAAGAGGATTCTTCTTAAGATACCAATCGGGTTTTTCTTTCAGGTGGACATTTATGGTTTCGTATCTGAAAACAAAAAAGCAGGTTATGTGTGCATGTTTAAGCACAGGTTGAATGACTGTGATGATTTTTCATTTCTACAGCAAACTAGAATAAAGAGTAGTCTTACTTGATTCCTTTGGCTTTGAGCACCAGTCTGGTCCTTTGGGCAAAAGGGCAGAACCTCATGCTGTAAACCCTGATGTAGTCTTCAGGGACTGGGCCAGGGGCAGCGCTACCTGAGGGATACAAAATGTTTCTTCCATTAAAAGACTGGTCAGTAGGGAAACCTGAAGAGGGATTACATAAAGACTTTTCTCCTGTTTAACTTTTACTAAAGTAAAAAAAAAAAGAAGAAAAAAATCTATTTTGTACAGTAGTATAATTTTCAGAGTAATTTTATAGCTGACAGTTTGGGTTATGTTGTGCTTCCACATCAGCATTTTGTCTTCGTAGTATTTTTACACAACATCCCAAGCTTTTTGGAAACAGCATTAACTGACCTTTATTTTCAAACTTACAGTGAATTTA